GTTTATAGAGCACAAACTTACCACTCCTTGAATGTGAGGACCAAGTGCCAAAGCATCACTGCAGAGCAAGAAAAGACCTCCTCCATTTGTCTTGAACTCTGAAAATGTCTGAAGATTCTTCTCCAAATCCAGATTCCCGTGGATTCGCAAGCAACGCAGATCGTTATCCAAAGCTCTTATCATTTCATAATGATATTCTACAGAGCTGCAACTAGAGAAAAAAATGACCACCTTTTGGTCTGGGTACTTCTTTAGGAAGCTAACCTAAGCAGGAAATTTCTTTTCGTTAGACATACGGCAATAGTGTTGCAGAACCGCTGAACTTGATGATCTCTTCCTTTTCCTGTCCTGCTCCTCCCTAGGCTTTTCCCCAACAGTCCAAGGAAGGTTTAGAAGTTGCCTGAAAACCCAAGAGTCCCAAACTTGGGCATTGAGCTCCTCCTCGTCGCTAGACACCCTGAATGCAGCTAAGGTCCTGTAGCCTTTTCCCCTGAGGTCCCGCAGTGTCTTAACAAAGATCTTGTCTCCGCTCATAACCATCACGTTGCGAGCAGGATCGTTCACAGGGTTATTCGAAAACGCTTCTATCTCCTTTTCGATTGCACGGTCAGCAGCATCTTTTAGTTCTTCTTTAGATGCATTATCTGAAATGAGACAAAACTCTTAAATCAGTAAAAATATTTTTATATAAGATGAGGAGATGAGAAGCTACTTACACAATCCCATATCCACAGTTCTGATATCTGCCGGCAGCTTTGCAAGCATATCTCTGCATATCTAGAGATATGTGCTCTGTAGTATTGGCAAAAATAGCAGTGATGGTGAGCGGTCCTGTGTAGTTGCGGTCTTTCAACCCGCGCTTGATCATGTGGTACAGCAGTTCTGGCTGTAGATCCTTTGGGACATCACAGTTTTCGATGTCCAACCAAAGATGGTTTGGATCAGTGTTCTGCAAATAGAAAACATAAACCATATAAGTAAAGTTCTATGTTTAAAAGAGTTGTTAAAAGAAAATAGGAGCATACCTTTGGCCACCGTGCTCGTGTAAGGACTCGGCCGTTTTTTATCATCAGGAAATACCCGTTGGACCCATGGTGCACGTCCACAAGTACATTGTTACGTTTCACATGAGCAATGACGTCGCCATGTGGATTGGCCATTCTTTACAGTACCTGAAGAAGAGATAACATATCAAGGACATAAGCAAAGAGTTGAACAATTTAACTGTCCCAAGAGTAAGCACACAGCTACTCAGCTGACCCAACACAAATCAAGTCCAGAGTTCATTGATAACACCATTACATTGTAATTGATAACACAAGAACAAAACAATAGAGCAATATCCCAATCAGCCTTAACAAGCAAGAGTTTGAAGGGTAAAGGAAACATTCACAAATTCATTAGATATGAGACATAAGCAATACCATGAAACAAGAAACAGAAGTCATCCAATCCCAGCAGAACAAAGCGAACATATATTGACATACATACAAAACGATGATACAAAAAAATATTAAAAATTCATAGAAGGAGAAGATGATTACGAGTTGTTAAGGGGACGTATCTAATTTCCAAAAGATTTTTGATTTGAAAAATGAGAAGATAAGAAGAATCTCTCAAGTAAATGTCATAGTACTTGACCATGCTCTAATTTCCACAAGCCAAGCTTTGAAATTTCATCGAGAAAAATCAATTACATATCATAAAATCAAGACCCATCAATCAGATTTCGACAATGCGTTATGCGATTCGAACTAAATTTCATTCTAGGGTTTATTTAAGGGATTGTGAAGGTTAAACGATGCACAAAGCGAACTGCCCTATGCAGAGAGAGAGAGACAGAGAGAGAAGAGAAGTTTACCGGAGACTGTGTAATTAGCGATTCAGCGGGAGATTTTGAGCGGTGGAGACGGTCACAGAGGAGTCGCGGCGATTGTGAAGTGTTTGAGTGACGACGGACTGAAGAAAGAGAGAGAGTGAGAGTAAGATAATGAACACGAAATTTCTCGCTACAAAACAACATTTTAAGCTATGGAACAACGAAATTCAAACAGAAATTGACAAACCTTTTTAGCTTCAGAGGACTGAAAGGATCTAGAGCTGGAAACCTTCTGGAAATTGTTGTTTCGGCGAGAGAAAGAAGGAGGCGAGAGTCTCTGAATTTTGGCTAAGTGTGCTCTAGGGTTAGTTGTCAGTGGATCAGGGTTAAGATAGGATGGGCTTAGATGGGCCTAGATAGGATGGGCTTAGATGGGCCTAGAAATATTGGGTTTAGAGTTTAATTAGTCCATAATTTTTTAGTTAGCCTAAATTAAATTAGCCAATTAATCATTAGTTAGTACTTTTAGTTAAAAATAAATTTGATTTGGGTTTAAATAAGTTTAGTCTAAACTTATAAACCGTAAAGCCAAAATTACCCCGCGGTGCACCGCAGGTCACTATCTAGTTTGATTATTATGCTAAAAAAGGAAAAGTTTTCCTTACATAGTATATTGGACCACAAACCGGTACAAGTACTTAACCAACATTACTAAATCGATTGCATATTGCATCTTATTATATAAAGTTGGGTTTTCGAAGTTAGTAACTCAAGAGATCGCGACACGTGTCATATTTATCGGTTATAGATGTTGACACATGTCAAAAAAATATTTGCTTTTAACAATTTTAAATATGTAAAAAGATAATTATGAGAAAATATTAAAATTTAAATAAATTTGAAAATAGAAAAAAATAATGTTAAGAAAATTATAAATAAAATAATTTTAAAAATCTAAAAAGATAATGTTGACAAAGCTCAGAGGAATGATTTTTCTCTACTTCATGTAAAGTGATTTTTTTTTAAAACTATGTCGATAATTACGGGTAAATATATGTATTTTTAAAATATATTGTCGAATTAATAAAAAAAAAAACCTAAAATTTTCATCCCTACTTCATGAAAAGTAAATTTTTTTAAAAAAACTCTTTCGATAATTATAGGTAAATATATGTATTTTTTTTAAATGATGAATTTTCCCTACTTCATGAAAAATGAATTTTTAAAAAAACTCTGTCGATAATTACGGGTAAATATATGTATTTTTTAAATATATCGTTGAATTAATTAAAACAAAGCCTAAATTTTTTACCTCTACTTCATGAAAAGTGAATTTTTTAAAAAACTCTTTCGATAATTACGGGTAAATATATGTATTTTTTTAAATCTATCGTCGAATTAATGGAAAAAAAATTTAAAATTTTCACCGCATTTCAGTTTATACCTTGATAGGTATTCATATCAGCTCATATGGATTTATTGGGTTTTATAACTGTTAATATAAGTTTATAGAATTGAAAAAAAAAAAATAGAAATTATAATTATGTTTTTATTATGGTTATAAATTTGGAGGATGTGGAAAAAACCATATGTATCGATGCATGAAGATTTCAGTAATGTTTCAACTGATTGGTCTAGACGCGATCATCGTATGATAAAGTAAGTTTTGATCAAAAACTAATTATTTTGGTATTGGTTATATGTTTTAATAATTGGTGTCGAACTATTTTGTTAACGTTTAGTAGGTTGATACTCTATGATTTATTTTATTGGATAAATGTATAATATGTTTTACTTTTGATGTGATTATTTAGGGTTAGTGTACTAATGTTTTTGTGGATGCGAGGATTTAGAGACGTTCCTTTCTGTTTATTGTGTTATAATAGAGGTTTTGATCTAAATGTGATATTTTTGTATGCTTTTACACGTTTTGATAAGTTACAAATTCTTTTGTAAACGTTTATGAGGTTGATACGTAAAGATTGATTTCACCGGATGAAGATATAAAATTTTGAAACATGAATGATAATGAAAAAATATATGAAAATAATTAATAAACAAAGAGAAAATTAAATTAGATAATTTATAAATACTTTATAGAATATCTAATTTTATTTTTTATACGGGTTACAAAAATTTTAGTTATAAACCCGCGTACGCGGGTCCTAATTTTATTTTCTTACACGGGTTATAAATTTTTTTGTTTTAAACCCGCGAATACGCGGGTCCTAATCTAGTTATTAATAAAATATAGGATAGATAAGATAGATAAGAGGGTCCGAATGGTAACCGCGTTTTTTGTGGTGCAGAGAAAGCAGTATTACAGTGCGGTACGGTTTCAACTGCGGTACGTACGGGAGAAATATATTGGAAGGTACAAAAACCGGTACAGATTATAGATTATATATATATATATATATATATACCGTTAATACACAAATTGATTAAAATATAAATTTAGTTTTTAACATACATATTGTAAATATTATTAATTGTTTTAAAATAAATAAAATTTTATTATAATATACCAATTTTATTTATCTATATACAAATAAATAAAATAATACATAACCTGTTACTACAATAAATTTTGAATTTAAAAATTGTAGATTAATAAATATTGAATTAGATATTATTACAATAAATATTGAATTTGATATCAGAATTTTTTAAAAAAAATTTCTTGTATTTTTTTGGAATTTTTATAAAAAGAAACATTTAGAAATGATAGTGTATCACTGATATCTGTATATGTGATTTCTATGTGAGTTGAATTCCTCCTATATGTTTAGGCCAGAAAAATGATAGTGTATCACTGAAATTCGTATATTGTGTTCACAATTGAGAATAACTTTTTTTTTTGTATTCGAGTGGAATTTT